TGATCTTACTATAGACGATTTCATCTAAACACCCTACGTAGACCATAAAGTGCATCAGGAGCTCGATGCCACTTCACTTTTTTCTAGTTATCTGCGATATGAGACCTTAGTGTCTAGACACTTACCTGAGAGGTGTCTGCGCTAGTTTGGATATGTTCAAGAAATCCCACGACCAATACCTGTAATTCCATATGAGGGCATTAATAGCTGATTTTGTGGTAATATTTTGGGTTCTGCACGTCCCATTAGAGATTGTGTATTGGAGGTTCAGTTCCTTGCGGGGTGTGTGGATGGGTACTTGGAGTGGTACTTTACTGTATCACACTCTCGCATCATCCCACCTTGGCATCACGGAGATGATGGTGGACCTTCTCATGCTGGATCTTCTCATGCTGATGTTGGAGTACTTTCTAATGACGTGTCGCTGCCTTCATTGTCGCCACATGGTGTGGATAACACTCAGTGCTTGTAGATGATAACAGTGATTATGGATAACCTCATGAGTTTGGTGAACTCATATAGCGAGGTTTATAGTTTGGCATCACAGACAACACATATAGCTCGTTGGGACCTATTTAGACATTATTATCGTTTTTATGTATTATTTGTATATTATGTGTAGTATTACTCCTACATTTGCATAACATTATTTATTATATAATCTTTTGGCACTCACACTGATGCATGATGAATACAACATAACATTTGACAAACAGTTACATAGCTTAGACAAACAATTACATATCTTAAGAAAACAATAATAAATACGAAAACCTAAACACTACCATATAATTCTTAACGTTTCAACATTTTTATCATGTTGTCGGCAAATCTAGAAATTGTCGCATCAAACTCGATTGATCTCTTAGTTAGCATACGGTGATATGATCTCCACATAACTTTCAAATTTGTATGGTCTTACACTCAATAAGGTGGTATTTTACCCTTCTATCTGTATCAATCAAATCTTCACGAAATTCGATCTTGCTAACCTTTATAATCTCGGTGTCTGAAAATATATCATTCAACTTGGATCTCAGAAGGGCGAGACATGCAGTGTCCTCGGGGAGCCGAAACTCTATAAGAGGTTTAACCCTGTTGAAATACACACCTGCCTTAAACAAAAACTGAAGCGACATTGTAAGATGACTTTCTTAACAAATGACCCCTATTTATATAATTTTAAGTTCATTCTGGACCATACAAAATGGTTGGTACAATAACAACCGTACAAAACTATCGGCAAAATCTCAACCTTTCAATTTTACTCTTTTATAACTATCAAATTTTTCACTCATAGACGAAATACGATAACTTACAGATGTTTTCAAAATTTCGGTACTAAGCAAACTACCAAATTTTTTATTTAAAAAAAAAAAATTGATAACCATAGAAACTTTTAAAAACTTTGATAATTTCCTTAACATAGTAGATCTTTCGAAAAATTCGATACACCGGTGGATTTGTTGTTATGTACCAAAATTTTCAATTTGGTCTACGGTATATTTTGTCTGAATTTTTGGATTAAATTTACACAAAAACTAACATAAGTATTGTAGAAATATGTGAGGGTATCAAGTGTAATCAGAGGGTGTCAGGATAAAATATAAGTGGTGTTTTTCTCTCAATTGTCCATGATGTTACAGAATATGTCAGCCCAAAGTAAATTACTCTCGTGTAAAGAGAAGAGGTAAACCACCTCATAGCACCAAGGAGTGACCAAGACGAAGCTTTGTGATCGAAACACAAAGCAATGAACACACCCTGAAAGCTTGTCAGGAAACACATGTAGAGCAGTAGGAAAATGCAATTAAAAAAAAAATATTGTGCATGTTTATTAGATATGAGGGTGGGGATAGAGAGGAGAGGGTGATAGGTAAGTTCTTCTTTGGATAATATTCTAATGGGCTTTATTAGATGATGTTGGGTTAATACCATAGAGTCATTTGGTTTAAAAATCCATGACAAATTAAAACAAATTGCTCATTACACCCTTTGCCTTTCTTTTAAATCTTATAAATTTTTAAAATTAAAGTAAAATTTGAACACATCCTAATATAAATCAAATGTCTCATAAGTTTGAAGTGTGTTACTTAAGAAGTAAGCTTTAAGGGACAATACATGAAGGACAAGGGGGCACAGAATATAACTTGAATTTGGACATAGATTCTACTTGAATTTCGACATAGATTCTATGCATGCAAGACTTCTTAAAGGAAAAAAAAAAGATATATGGATGAGATTAATGAAACCAAACATATAAAAATGACATCAAAAGTGGAAACGATTCCTTGAATTGGAATGAGTAAATGTCGTCTAGACAATGGCTCCAACCAAGACATTTTGAGTTGTTGTGCTTTTGATTTTGACTGATTCAACAACAAAAAATTAAGTCCAAGTCATTTGGTCTTTGTTTTGCCTAACATAAACTCAACATCACTTTCTAAAACACGACTGAGTCAATGTTTCAAAGGTTTGTCGACATTTTTGCCATTTGAAATTTTGAACCAATATCTTAAGACATTCCTTCTAAACGTGGTGTCTTTATTAAAGTTTAGTTTTCAATTTGAAATCATAATAAAGAGTCAAGTAGCCAAATGATTGAAGGTATATAAAATACCGAGCCTCTCATGATCATCATGGGTCACACACATTCATATTTTATATAATTTGCTTACTTGTATGATCATTTTTTTTATGTTATCACTTAACAGGAAGAAAAAACTTGAGATGTGGGGTGGTGGAGTAGAGGGTATACATGCAAGATTAACACTTCAACGTCTAAATTAATAAAGTTAAAGATGTCTAACTTGCAAGAATAAATTAATTGTACTTGGTTATTGAAACAACTGGCTGAAAATCATCAAACAATGAAGTCGCCATCGAACGTCTTTTATCCCACATGAAGGGAAAGGTAAACATCGAGAAAACCTGAGAAGGAAGAAGTCACGGTCTTGCGACCGAGAGATCAGGGAAGGGAGTCTGTTACGCGAGGGGAAGGTATTAGCACCCCACACGCCCGTAGTACTCTACGATATCCACTCTTGTTATCTATCTTATGAGTGTGTTTAATCTATGCTTACTATTTACTATACTACTTGAAGGGAGAATACATGCAAAAGAAAGGGGAAAAGAATGTAGGGAAAATAAAATTGTACTCGCTTGAGCCTTACCCCAATGCCTACGTATCTTTTTTGAGAAATCAGAGTTACCGTAGTTTGGCTCACATATTTTTGTTTGTTTGTGTTTTTTATGGACAATGTTGATTCCGCTTTCTGTCGCAGCTCGACCTTTGGAGACTTATGCGTTCGCACAAAAGTAAATTAATCATGTCCTTAACTAAAAAGGGTTTTTAGAGAAAAGGTGTTCGAGCGTACAAAATGGTTTGAATTTGGTTTGTGTTTTGTTACCTTGAAAAAGGGTTTAAGTATGATTAGCATGTTTTTGATTTGCTAGGAAAATAAGTTTTTGTTTTAGATGCATATGCAAAGAGGGAAGAAAAGAGTATAAGGGAGACTAGCCTATCTCTAACCTAATGTTATCATACAATGGTAGTCCTAAGGTTTGGATTAACAAAAGGGAAACGTCTACCTAATATTAGCATGCATGGTTTGCAATCTAAGGTCTAACTTGCATTCAAACAGAGCAAGCACGTCCTAAGGGAACATGGTACGTACGAGGATAAGGAAAGCAAGCCAGTAAACTCAAGAGAGCATACCTAGAGAGATCCTATCTAGGTTAGCATGCCAAAGAAAGTCTAATAAAACTATCCTATAGGGAACATGCAATAAGAGCGAAGTCGTGATCTCAATTTCTAAATTGAGTGACTCATCGATCAGCAAGAAATAAAGGAAAGCGATAAAATTCTATAGGGAGCATGCACTGAGAGCGAAGTCGTGATCTCAATTTCTAAATTGAGTGACTCATCGATCAACAAGAAAGTAAACAAACACAAACAAAACACATATAACAAACGAAGTGCAGAATGCCTGCTACAGGTCTTTAAACAGCGACTTCGAGTGCACACTCTTTATTTCCTACTTCTCATGGCATCTAGAAAAGCGGTAAAGTGCGAAAATGAAGAATAAAATAAAGTTGCGATGATACCGAACGGAGAAGGTCCGTTGCCTCTTCATAAGTACACAAGCGATAAGAAAACTCTACAGAAAACTGCTTCACACGAGTGATCAAAAAGTTAACCCCCGAGCAATCCACATGGTGAAAACTACATTCATATTCTATCACAAAATCTTGGCTAAAAATAGCAACAAAAACGATTACCAAACATAAAAATGATAGAAAGTTTTAATAAAATTCTAAAGAGAATATAAAAATATTTTCTAAAATATTCTAACTATTTTTGTACCCTTTTATTATCAATTGAAATATAAGAAAACTAAAATAATAAAAAGGAAAGTTATAAGAGCCAGGGGTGAAATTGTAATATAAGGGTGTAGAGATCAGGGCGCTAAGCCCATTCAACAAGGGTCCATGAGCCCTTTTTTTGTGCTTCTTCCAGCTATTCCAAAAAGAAGTATTATGGGCTCAAGCAAATAATTTACGTCCAAACCCAAGGGGAAAATATCATGTTCACTACAACGATCCAGTCCATACCTCATATTTTTTCATTTCACATTAATTAAAAAAACGGATAAAGAAAAAAAATAAAGTCACAAGCGGTGCATCTTATACGTATTAGGGTTCAATGTTATGATGCATCGTCTTCTTCACGAACAACTTTCACTCTCTTCAAACGACGCCCCAACCTCTATTTCGGTTCACCGCCTAGAGTCAACAATCGTTACCGTCGAACCCATCCTCAACCTCATCTCTTCGAACCCCCACCTTCTTCTTTGATTCAACCTCAACACAATTTCTCAATCGCAAAATCGTAAAGCACCATGACCTGAAAAACGAGAATCAATTTAGGAAAAGATTAGCAAAAAATCCATAAATGATAATTCCAGCGTTTCAGGAATGATCTTCTTCTCCGAATTCATTCAAGTTTCATCTTCGCCAGAAATCGCTCCTCCGTATCGGAGACGGCCGAGTCTTCTTCTTGTTTGTCTCTTCTTCTGTGAATATAAAAGACTAGGATGAACAAAACTCAGGTACGTCTCGTTTTTAATTCGATACACATCTTCTACTTTATCGATTCCGATTCCGTGAATCGTTGTTGTTGAAATCGATCGCGAAATGATGATGACCGATGAATCCGTTGCAGGTGGTGGAAGGGAGTTATTGCAGTAGCAGTTCTAGATTTGATGAATTAAGAAGATGAGGTTGTTGATGAAGCCTTAAGAAGAACCGATGATGGTGATTGAAGATGATATCAGAAGCAACATATTGAGGAAGATAATAAAGTGGTTTTGGTTATGGTGATGAAGAGTAAGCTAAGAACATGATGAAGGTTTTGATAGAGATCCTTCAGAGAATGAAGAATTATGGAAGGTTTTCAATGAATGAAGCAGAGAGAATATGGTGGAAGGTGTTTGGTGATTCTTCTCAGTAAAATCAAGAATGAATTGAATGAAGGTTTATTTCCTCTCTGTGAATTTCTGATAATCTATCGTAAATCATTCTCTCCGTCTCCATCCTCCCTCTGCAATCTGTTATGAACTTTCTGTTATATCTTTTTTGTAGTTCTTTTTGAGAGTGAAGAATGAAAAGATGGTGAAGGAAGGAGAGAGAATAGAGATCGAGCATAGGCTGAAAAGGTGAGTCCCTCTAACTGATTTTCCTCTCCCTTTTTTCTGTTATTCTGTTAATCTGAGTTTGTTACAGAATCAGTTAAGAGGTTATATAATTCTGTTAGCGTTTTGTGAATTGAAAAGTTGTTTCGGTTAGGCTTTGTTGGTTCTGTTATTCCTCTCTTCCCCTTCTGTTTTCCTTTATTCTTTGATAGTTAGAAATTGGTTAGGCAGTGTTTTGGGGATATATTGTTAGTTGTGAACTTTTTTCTGAGTTAGTTATAGATGGTTGTGAATTAGTTTTGAAAGAAGTTGGACATTCTGCTAACCATTTCGGTAACTGTAAGCTTTAAATTCTGCAAAATACTCATAAAATCAAAAGCTTTTTCCTTCTCTTTTCCAGGAGTTTCTACAGTTTCAGAACCAGCAAAAGAAGCACCATTTGATGATTCTACGGCTGCTAGCTGTGATTGGAAGAAACTAGCGACTGCAATTGTGATGAGCTGCTAGTTATAGGTTGCAGGAAGTTGTTGAACTGTTATGAAGGGTATTTATGAAGTTTTGAATTCTATTTAGTTATCAGTTTTTTATTCAGTTAGAGGTTCTGTTGAGAATTATGTTAATGCCAGCTATGCTATATTTCTATGTAGGTCTGATTTTAGAACAAGTTTAGATTTTGAAGACTTATGTTGGCAAGATCAAAGGAGGTTGTCTTGGAATAATGATGAAGCCATAACTTCTTTAGCCATGAAAGAAAGAACTTTGAAGTGATCCAGAATCACCCTTAAGGAGAACTGGAAATGAAGTTTGAAATGAATGGTTTGGAGTATGATAGGTTTAGGAGTTCAGATCCAAATTAGGGCCAATGGTTAACTATGTAAAGGAATTGTACTTCCCTTGTATCTTTCTCGTTTTTCTCCTTGTAATGCACTCCCCTAACATGTCTTGGCTTTTGTATTTTGTATGTTGACTTGTAAATTTAAGAAATAAAGTCCCTTTACCATTTCCTCCATTTTTTGCACGCTTTAAGTTCTGAATGTGACTCCCTCTTGAATGATGAATATTGCGCGAGTAAAATATCCAAAGTGATGCACTAAGTGGTTTATTTAGAAATATGATATTGATTTCTTCCTTGAACTATTGATTTTTTTTTTAATGAAACTTGAAATTTTTTGGATTGATGATTTGATGAATCTCGAATTCGTATTTTAGATCCTCCTTGAATAATACTTGAATGAATGAATCTTCCTTGAAGCCATATGAATGAATCTCCCGACCCTATCTTGAGTCAACCATTAACAAATTCATGAACTTAATAAGACCTTGAATCAATATTAACTCTGAGCATGATTAGAAGTTTCAACGAATCCAATTCAATAGTCATTTCTCTCAGTAGTCCAAGTTAACTTGCAATTGAAGTAACAAGTATTTGATGAGAACCAAAAACTGTATCATTCAAAACAATTTCATAATGTTGAAGAAGGAGAAGCTCAAGATAACCACAAGATCTAGCCCTAATCCAATGATCCCCAGTTGAAGCATAACAGAAGAAAACCCTAATTCTTAAGCATTGAAGAAAGATTGCAACCTGATGTTAAGGAGAAAGAATATCCCCGTAGTTTGATGATAAAGAAGTCCAGGAAATAAAATCCTAGTTCGAACAAATGATTGATGGAGAAAACAACCGAAACAAGCTTGTGCAAAGATAAAAGCCTTAAAGCCATACAACAACCCTAATTTTTCGAAATCCCTGATCCCAAGCCAAACTATTGACTAATGATGCATGATGCGTTAGATGACCTAATGAAGGTTATGTACATGAGAAAAGTGCGAGATGCATAAGCCAAATAAGAAAAGGGTAGGACAAATTTGGGGTATTACAATTATGGCGCGTGATCATGTTCATATACAAACGACAAATAGATAAATTCTAATATTTATGATGAGTGCAATGTCGGGTTCTGGTATGTGGTCTCTTAGAAAGGGTTTGCCTGTTCATCATCTTTAGATAGACAAAATTAGGACTGGGCCTTCAAATTGGGCTAGTCTTGTTGGGCCATTTAGCTAACCCAATAAAAGTTTCCCCCAAGTCTTAAACACCAGGCACAAAGCTAGGATTGTTGCAGACATGTTGAGATCATCCTTCAAAATGCTTTTACGTGTTGTTTCAAGATCTCCGTACGATCCTCCGAGCTGGGGGGAGAGACATGTGGCATGTTGAGTAACAGTAGGTAATCTTGGGAATACACAGATCAAATGTTTATATTGTTATCGAAATGTTTCATGGTAAAAATTCTCCATGTGGACCTAGGCTTCTAGGTTAAAGGTGGTGATGCCACTATAGGACTTGAGTGCACTCGAGTGCCATTATGGAACTAGAGTTAATGATGGACTGTTGGTCGCTTCTTCTAGTATTTCATTGAATCCTGACTGTAGATTTACGCTCTTTGACTGTCTATAAAATGGGTAGAATGCAATTAGTTTCTCATTTCGATTTCTTTGTACGAGAGTTTCATATATCTAGTTTTTCATGTGGCTTTTTCTTTGTTAGTAATATTTCCATTACTTTTGATCTTCATCTTCATTCGTGCAAGATTTTTGGGTCTTTGATAGTCTTACTCTTGTATCTTCAAACTCAAACTACACTTTTCTTTTAGGTAACATTCTCTTTCTCTACTCTATGAGTTGTTTCCCTTTATTTCTATTCACAACTAACATAGGAAACCCAAACATTTCTTTCGTAGACTTGGTGAGTGATGAAGATATAAGTGAGGCATCCTCACAAACTGAAGTAACAAACCTAGAAAAACTTGAGGCGTCTCATTTATCTGTGAGGTATCTTTCTATTCATTTTATAGAGGTTAATAAGATTTCTGATGTTGTGGGGAGTTCCAATGAGGATAATGAAGAGCCGAAGGGTCTCCAAGATATGTAAAACCTTAAAATTAATTAGGAGTAAATTTCTCCTTTTAAGATTGATATCAGGGATGTTGGTCATGGCTTTGAATTCCCTAGGCTCCCCTACCAAACTTTGAGACTGTTGAGGTATACATGGATTAGTTAAAGGTCCATGTTTACATTAAAGCCTTTAAGTGCCATCATGATCGTGAACCAGGTGACTATGAGGTTAGATGATGTATTGAGTCTCAATCGCATTCCAACTCTCATGGGTGTATTTTTATACTTGTTGACAGTGAAGAAGAAATGGTATGAAGGGGACAATAGGCTCTTGAGATCCCTGTTGATGCAGATCAATATCCTAGGTTGAACGAGATATCTTACGTGTGATGTCCGTATTTAGTGAAACATGTCGGATGAATAATGACATCAACATGTAAATACATCTTCTGATTAGGCAATTTGACATGTAGAACCCAATAAGAGATAATGGAATCACTTTAATGGGTTTAAGTTTCCACTTCATGAATGAATGTTATCTTAATTGGGTTCAAACCTCCCTTCAATGAGTTTCAAATTGGGGTTATGAATCATTTTAAAAGCAATTCTTCACAACTACACCCGGTGAATTTGTCTTACATCAAGGTCTTCTAGTATTGGTGTGAATATAAGAAATATGTCCCCACCCTACAACTCATATTTCACCTTTTCAACAGTCAACGTACCTCGGCAATGGAGGACCGGGACAAAGGATTACTTTCCATAAAACAAGTAAAAAAGATATTTGAGGTCTATAAGGACAATTTCAAAAAAATAAATTAAGGATATATGTTCTCTAGTTACCTCTTCATCTGTGAGGAAAATGAGGGTTTGTGTGTTTCCATAAGGTCCCTAGGGAAATAAATAGTGTCGGTGGGGGGTGGACATCCTCTTGGACTTCAAATGCTTCGACAACTCCGAAATAGGTGGATACGTTTCATAAGTACTTGAATAGCAATAACTTTTTTGAGGTTCTGTGCACGCATGTCTTCAAATATTGTGACATGCCTCTAAAAGGAGAAAAATTTGAAGGTCGGATCAATGCATTTTGGGAAAGCCTAGGTTTTTTTAGACAAAGTTGGTCCTTTCGATAGTCAAGAACTAAAGCTAGATAAATAATATGTAGAAACTCGACCATTAACAAAGAGGACCACCGAGAAAGAGACAAATGATTTTTTTGGTGAAGAGAGATACTTTTATATTACACGTTACTATCAATATTTCCAGTTTCCACTTGTATATTCATTGTTTAATTTGTCTTATAGATAATTTGGATATCCTTTACAATCAAATGGTGATGATGAAAAGCCTTAGAAAAACACTATCTCACCTATGCCTTCGCCTTTGGAGAAGATTGCGGAAGAGGCCATGAATGTTCAAAAGGGAAGTGAACAAAATGTTCTGGACTGGGCCCAGGCACGGCCCAACGTCGGGCACGACCCATCTTACCCCTATGCCAAGGACAACCCAAATATTTTCCCAATCTATTAGGGTCCAAGATGAAGACGCATTATCCACGTTCATCTCAAGTAAAGACATGTCACCAACGTGTTCCACATTCTCCGGAGCCGTTACGCCCTTCATAACGGATGTGGTCAGCCCACTACCCGCAAAGTACACTAAGAACTTGACACAAGACAAAGGGTATGTGTTTTTCATCCTCACTGCCATGTGAGAATCCTGGTAGCCATCTATTATGGGCTAGAATACTCAGCCCACAATAGAGGCCATTAGCCCAACACTGAGAGCTCTATAAATACTCTCTCATACGGGAGAGTCAAGTATCTTATTCACAGTTATCATACTCATATACCTCTCTCTCTCTTTTTTACTTTAGCATCACAGTGCATTGCAGGTAACCCCCCTCCGAGTAGGCATGGTAACGGGGTAGGCCGGGGACGCTTTTCACTTCCCCCAAACCTAAACCTGAATCCCTAACTAATCCTTGTTCCCCACCCCAAACCCAAATGGGAATGGAGATTTAAAACCCAAATCCGTCCTAAACGGGTCTGAGTTGGGTTCAGGTATCCCCGCCCTGCCACCATCTATTTACTAAAATCAAATTTTTAATAGAAATATTTTTTTCCAAAATCAAATTACATTATAAATAATAAAATCAAACAATCTCAAAAAATTTCATATATACATTTCAAATATTTTAAATAATAAATACAAAATCAAATTACCAAAACATTGGCCACATATTTAATATTCTAAATTATAAAAAATAAATAATAATGTATATAATGAAATAAAGGGGGCGGTTTTGGGGTGGGTACTAGTGTCCCCGTTACCCGACCCGTCCCCATATTTTGTAATCAGGGAAAACCCAAACCAAAATCCAAACCCAGTCAAAGTGGATTTCCCTGTCAACTTCGGGGTAGGTTTGGATGGGTAACAACGTACGGGTTTTGTTGTCATTCCTACCTCAGAGGAGTATTTGGACTGACGTATTACTAGACCGACCACACATCTCTTTCTTATCCCGGTAAGATCAATGACGTCGTATGTGGGAACTTCACCTTTTCCCGATCTTTTTTCCCCAAAACTAAAGATCAAAATGAAACTCAAAACCAATCATTGTTGGTCCCAATGACAAGAATGGCACTTAGGACACCAACCTTTCCCCTGCTCGCAACAACTACAACAACGACGAGATATCTCACTTGGAGAACATCACACCAAAGAGGGACAAGCACACTGCTTCCCCTTTTTTGAAGACACCCAGGAAGATATTGTGCTGTACGTCAAAACCCGCAGGGACTAAGAAGCCCAAGAGCCAACCCCGGAGACGTTCCAGCAAATTCTGATGCCCCTAAACATCGACCCGATGATGGCGACTATTTTCACAATGATCAACCACACGAACTCACTAATCCACAACTGTAATTAAAGGATCAAAGTGCTCGAAAGGGACAATCATTCACATTATCCCCCGCGGAGACATCAATGGTATGAATCCTGAATTCCATCCCCGTGCTAACTAGGCAGACACCCTCCATTGAAGAGGCAGCAACCCTTGGTGACCAAGTTGCATGGTCAAACCCCTCTCTACGAGGGTCGACACTCACCAACTACCAAGAAAAACCGACGCTCACCTCCCCGCAAGACGAAAAAGTCATCCACAAGATTCGCCACCGCACCATGACGGTAGCCCCAGACGAGGAAGACCCCTCCAATCTCCACCACTATCGCCGATTTGGAGCGACGAAGATGGGCCCAACAGACCACTATCTCAGGAAATCATGGATGCACCCATCACCGTCGAACTGGAGAAACCACTGAACTTGGGGATATATGATGAAACGACTGACCCAAATGACCACCTCAAGAACATTGATGCTTTCCTCGACTATGGATACGCCAACGGCGCTGTCATATGCAGACTATTCCCCATTACTATGCGAAAGGGTGTCATGACATGGTACAAAAGCCTCTGAGAGGTGTCCATTACTTTCCGGAGAGGCCTGAGGAAGAAATTTTCGAGGCACTTCACTGTCTTCCGACGCCACCTTAAGACTGAAGCGACGCTCGAAGCAATCATCCAGGAAAAAGACGAACCTCTCTGAGCCTACATTGAGAGGTTCAACCAAGAAGTCTTCTAGGTCTCAATGACCGACAATATGAAGAATACTTACTCGAGTGGGGTTTATACCCCACAATAAATTCTCCAAAGCAGTTGGCATCGATAAACCCATTTTAATTCAGGCCCTCATCTTCAAAGCCCAAGCTTACATTCGGTATAAGGAAAAGGAGGCCGCCATCACAGCCCGAGATTCACGGCGACATGAGAGTGCCTAAGTTTCTAGATAGGAGGACCTAATACCTCGTCGAGGAGCTGAGAAAACAAATGTGGATAAGCCCCATGAGTCTCGAGAGCATAAAGAACGTGATGGCTATTTCTCTGAGTACATTGTTGATCTCCCCTCGTGAGTGCATTTTGTGTGAGTGTGCGAATGTAGAGTTCCTCTAAGGCATAGTTCGTTTCTCGAAAAAAAGGCCCCCAAAGCCCAACATGGACAAGACAAAGTATTATCGTTTCCACAAAAGCCACAGGCATGTCACTGATGATTGCATCCACCTTAAGGATGCAATAAAGATCCTCATCAGAGATAGGAATTTGTAGCAATACCAAAAAAGGGAAGCTCCTCGGAAAGAGGTCCGAGAAGAAAAGAAGGTCGAGGAAGAAATTCCATCCTCTGACAACGCGAATCTCTAGATCTCCATGAGCATCTCCTGACCAGAGGACTTCTTCGTCCTTGATGGGTTCAACTTTCCCATTTATACTACTGCGCACAACCCATGGGAGTCCTTCCCCTCTTCCATGGTCATATCCGACGGGGGATTCAACAACCTCATTATAGGTTCGATAAAAAGGAAGTTCGAGGAGTTTATCAATGCGAGCTTGATCCAGAGTGCTACTCTCGAGAGATGTCACAGAAGCTTAAACCCAGTCACGTTCTACTAAGAAGAGCTTCCCAATGGCTCCCAGAACTCCAACATCCCTATGCTCGTAAGAGCACGAATGGAGAACTTCAATGTACACCATATTTTATTCGATCATGGAAGCTCGGTTGACATAATGTACTCTCACATTTTCAAGACTCTACAGCTAGAAGAAATTCATCTAAAACTCTACGTGGGATCCGACCTTTAGGGTTTCAATGGTGCAACCATGAGACCATGGGGGCTATGTCGAGCTGATCGTCACCTTAGGAGCCGTTGAGACCGCCACAAAAATCAAAACCAATTTCCTGGTGATAAACTATCTATCTCGATACCATTTCATCCTGGGAAGACCAACTCTGATCAAATTGATTGATGTGTCGTCCATGGTCCACCTGAAGATGAAGTATTACACTCTCAAGGGCTTCGTCGCCACCCTTGACGGGGACATTAAATTTTACAAGGAGGTGCTTTGAGGCAGCCACAAAAGGGCATAACTCTGTTAACACGTCATCCAGGACCATCAACAAGCCTGCTCGTCCCAACAGATCGGAGGAACCAAAGTCGATTCCACATGTTGACTCGATTGATCTCGACAACCGCTTCACCATAGAAGATTTGAAGATGCATAAGAAGAAAGAGCGGGAAGCACGACTGATAACACCAAAAGATGAAAAATATACCCCCATCCTATGTGCCCAATCCTGGACTGCGAGTTTGAAGTCATCCTCCTCGGTAATGATCCAGAAAAAGGAGTGAAGATTGGCACTGGCCTCCCCGACCTAGCGAGGAAGCAGCTGAAGGCCTACCTAATAGAAAATGCGTATCTGTTCGCGTGGAGTGCACTTGAGATGCTTGAACTGGACCCCAAGATTGCATGCCACTAGATGACCATAGATCTCATGACTAGGGCCATAGTACAACGTATGAAGTCTCTCGAGAAAGTGGAGTCTGCTGAAAAAGTTGTAAAATACCTCTTAGAGGCAAAAAAAATATTTTGAAGCCCAGAACTCAGCTTGGATGTAAAATGTTCTGCTCGTTAAGAAATCTAATGGTAAGTGGCAAATATGTGTTGATTAGACTGATCTTAATAGTGCATGTATAAAAGATGCATACCCATTACCTAACATAGATAGGTTGTCGACAACTCGCCCGGTTTTAAATTATTTCTTTCATGGACGCGTATTCGGGCTACAATCAAATCCCAATGGCCATAACAGACAAAAAATACACGACCTTCATGATTGAGTCGGGAAATTACTACTATAACGTAACTCCCTTCTAAAGCTACCGGCAGAAAACACATAGCCGCCACCGAACTTTATTTATCCCGAAGGAAGGGGAAATATCGATAAAACCACAAGGGAATGGATAAGATGGTCTTGCGACCAAGACAAAGGGTAAGGGAGTCAGTTATGCGAGGGGAAGGTATTAGCACCCCTCACATCTGTTGTACCCAACGGGATCCATTTTGTTTGTTTGTCTTAAAGGGTGTATTTATCTACAACTATGCTTGCTTAAGGGGAAAGAAATGAGTTTTTTTTATTGTGTTCGTGAGGGTTTCGCGACCCTTTGCCTACGTATCCAATGAAGAAATCAGAACACCTTAGTTCCTCTAAAAAAGGGTTTACTTGTTTGTGTTTTTTTTAGTGGGCGATGTTAATGCACGCATTCTAACAATAGGCACAGCCTGTATCGCGGTAGAACAGAGATAACATGCCCTTTGGGGAAGGTTTTGATTTGTTGAATGCTTTTTGTGAGTTTTAAAATAAATTCAAGTAATGATTAATGAGTGTTTTGAATTTTTGATTTGTTTGGTCAAAATGGGTGTGGACGAGATTTTGAGAAATAAAACGACCGAATATCGAGGTTTCGATTTAAAAGAGGGTAAGTTTAAAAATAAGGTTTTAAAGGTCTTAACTAAAAGAAAGAAAATAGGATAAAAATAAGCAGGCAATAGACGCACAATGATATAAAGTCAATAAGACGCTCCTTTCCCTTGGATTCAAACACAATGCAAAATATAAAGATAAAATAGTTGAATGGAGATTAAACAACTGACAATTAAACGATTTAAACGATTAACAAAATAAAAATTAATCAAGTTAATTGAGAATGTTTAACAAAACTAATTAATT